CACACACACACACACACACACACACACACACACACACACACACACACACACACACACACACAAACTGGGCCTCAAGCGCCAGCCATCCGCCTATCCATCTGCGACGCTCGCCCCGGCCACCGGCACGCCCGCCCCCGGCTGCTGCTGCCCGCCAAAGACCTGAGTCAGCCAGGGCAGCAGCTTCTCGTGCAGCAGCTCCGGCCGGTCGTCCTTTGGGGTTTAGAGGTTGGCGGACACACCGAAATTTGGAATCAATTCAGACAGCACATCGAGCTTCCGGTTCAGGTATGTGGCAAGGGTGAGGTTCAGAACGTCAATAGACGGCGACCCCGACAAGACGCGGCACATAGTGCAGAGGCTGAGCTGCAGGCAATCTGCCTGCTGCGCATGTGCCTGCAGCCAAGCGCGCCCTGTCTATCCAGCCCTGCGCACCTGCGGGCAGTGGCCAACCCCCTGGAGCAGTGAGAAGGTGGTGTCGGGCCGCGACGCGGGCAGGCCCTCGAAAAACTGGCCCACGGGGCCGTCCAGAGGGGTGAAGGGGTCCGAGTCCCTAATGGGGTTGATCGCGATGCATTGTGTGGGCGAGGGTCGCGGGCTGCGGGAGGGAGGAAAACGGTTGAGTGCGCCTGCGAGTCTTGGGCCGTCCCGGCAGGCTGCCAGGGGGCTGCGGCGCAAGGGTGCGGCGGCCGCCCTGTCTGGTCAGGGCAGGGAAGGGCAGGCTCGCGCACATATGCAGGCGCGCGCGGGCCTGATGAGGCGAGGGGCCGAGCGCCGCGGCTCACCCCCAGGCGATGAAGATGGGTGCGGTGACCTTCGGGAGGAGGTCCCAGGGCTTGGGCCCGGGAGGGCCTGCGGCAGGTTTGTGGCAGGAAGGGGGAGGGAGTGTGGGATACCCACCAACCAGCTCACCTACGGGCCCAGCCACGCGAGGCAGCGTCGCGCTGGCGTGCTTGACCGAATGTGCAGCTAGAGCGCTGCCGGTGCCCGCCTCCCTGGAGCCAGACAAGCGAATGACCACGCTTCTTTCCGCGCCGCGCCTGCCGCGCAAAATGCCACCCGCCCCCAGGGCGCCGGCAAGCCCCCAAAGCCCGCGCCCCGCACCGGTGATGACGGAAACAAACACATCCAGCGCGCCCGCGTCGTAAGAGGGCGCGGCGATTATGGACACGAGGTCGTCATCAACCGCCTCCTTGTTGCTGGGATTACATATGTCGGGGGTGAATTTGGGGAGGCAGCGGGGAGGCAGGGGTGCGTGTGGGAGGGGCGGGGGTGGGAGGATGCGTGCACGAGTCGTATGGGTGTTCACGCCGCCGATCGGGGAGGCACGCCGCTGGTGGCAGCGGCCAGCGTTGGGGCCACTTCTGGCAGCCCGTGACGCGGCTGGGCGGGGGTGACTCATGCACGTGTGCACGCTCGCGCGTGTGTATGTGAGTGTGCGCATGTGCGTGTGTACTTTCGTGTGGTTGTGTGCGCGCGTGCGTGGGTGCATGTGCATGTGCATGTGCATGTGTGTGTGTGTCTGTGTGTGTGTGTGTGTGTTGTGCCCGCTCGCTCGCATGTTTGCGCGTGCTCCCTCGGCAGCCTGCGCGCGCGCGCGCGCCCACCCGTAGATGCTCTGCAGGACCTTGGCCAGCACCTCGCGGTCCCTCACGTTGCCGAACAGGGCCTGGGCCACGGGGCGGATGCTGAGCAGCAGGTCGATGAGCCAGAAAATGGGGAGCGCCAGGACGATGCGCCAGTCCGACACGACGCCCTTGTTGTTCCTGACGCGAGGGGCGCGTACGAGGGGCGCACGGGCGCGGGAGAGAGGGGGAGAGGCAGACGCAAAGGTGAGGGATTGTGTGCGTGTGTCTGTGTGTGTGGGTGTGTGTGTGTGTGTGCGCGCGTGCGTGTGTGTGTGTGTGAGCGCGTTCACATGAGGGGTGTGCTGCTGGGCCATGACGAATTCAAAATAGACGAAGGATAAGAGGCGCGCGCCCAGCTCTCCACAACGCCTCCACCTGCCACTGCCCTCACCCCTGAAGGTCCGCCGCCCCCCATCCCTGCCTGCCATCAAAAACACTCGGCCTAGCGCGTCTCGCAATGCCCAGCCCCGCGCGTGCCACAGCGGCGGTCGGCCGTGCAGGGACCCCCGCGCCCAGCTCTGCACTCCCCGGGGCGCCGCCCTCACATCGCCGCGGCCGAGTTGAGGAAGCAGAGCCCGGCGACGCGCCCTGCTGGCACTGCGGCCGCGGCCTGCGCGGGGCCAGGCGCGAGGCGCCGCGGGCGAGAGCGCGTGTCAGCAACGACCCAGCACCTGGCAGCCTGATCTGAAGCCCCCGAGCGTGCCGCGCGCCGGTGCATGCAGCTGCACGCCACGCTTGTGCCAACAAACACGCGCAGCCGACAAACACGCAGGCCGCAGGTCCCCATCCGCACCGCTGAGCAGGAAACAGAAGGGAAAATCCTGCATGCGCACCGTCAGGCAGACCAGGGAACCGATCGAGTTGCCGACCAGTACTGCGCCCTGCGGCGCCGAGTCGGGGCCCACGAACTCGGCCGTGAAGTCGGCGAGAAGCTCCGCCCAGAGCTCAATCGAGTAGCCGCCGGGCAGCACGGGCTTGTCGCTGGCGCCAAAGCCCAGGAGGTCGGGGGCGTATACCTGATGAGGTGGTTAGGTCAGGCGGCTGGGAATGATTTGAGGGAGTGGGGCAGCGATTGTACGGGGGTGGGGGCTCTGGTAGGTGGTGGGACGCCGAGGCAGGGCAGATGGTTGGCTGGGAAGAGGGGGGGGGCCGGCGGGGTCGGGCAGGAGGCGGCGGAGGAGGAGGGAACGCTCGTCAACAACAGCTGCAATTGGAACAACATCGGCGGCCGACGCGACCATGGTCAGCAGAGGCCTGGGATGGGCGCCGCCGCCGCGGCGCTCGCCTGACCTTGTAACCTGCAGTCGCGAGCGCCGGGATGGTCTTCCGATAGTGCCCGTGGCTTGCGCCAAAGCCATGTACGAGCACGACCGGCTTGCCGCACCCCGCTGTCTGCGAGCGGTCGCAAGTGGGGGCGCCCGGTCCCGCATGAGGTGGAATCGAGGCAGGCGCTGGGGTTGGGAAGGGGCTCGGTCAGCCAGTCTTGGTTGGGTTGGCGCCGCGAGCCGAACACTGCAGGCTCCTGCCAACTGGATCAGCGGTCAACGGGCAGGGCCGGGCAGCCCCCGCTGCTGCTTGCGAGGCCCTCAGGCCCGACGACGTCCCCGGCCCGAGGCGCCCCACGCGTGGCGATGCGCGCACCGCGTAATTGATGGCGTGGCCGCGCCACTGCCACTTGTGCTGCGCCCAGGGGCGCTCCTGGGTGTCCGCGCTGCTGAGGCTTGCACCCGCCGCTGCGGCTCCCCCGTCAGTGGCGGCGGCGCTGCTGTTGGTGCGACCGCTGGTGCCGCCGCTACCTCCAAACGGCGACACGGGTGCTGCGGCTGTGCTGTGGGTGCGGTCTTCTCCAGTGGAGGCACATCTGTGCGGTAATCGGCGCCGCTGCTGCACATGCCACGAATGCGGCAGCGCAGCGCCGTGGGCGTGTAGTCCATGCGAGCGAAGGAGCGCTGCTGGCTGTGGCGAGACAAATCCTAGCATCCTTGTTTGTCAAAGGAGAGAGGGAGGGGGCTGCTTAGTAGTGTTTTTTACGCGCTTGGCTGTTCCACGCGAATTGGAGATGACGCACCCGATCGCTGAGTAGTTATGCGTTTCGCAAGCAGTTGTCACATTCAGCAATACACGACGACCATTGAGCTGGTGGCGTTTTCACGAACAGTGGCCATGCACCTGTGGCACCCAGTGTCACCGAGGCCGAGTGAGTGTGGCAGATGTGTTGAATTCTCAAGACGGATTTGACAACACTCACAGATTTTGCATGACATCTGAAGGCTGAAAGGCGCAGTTGGGGTGGCGTGACCCTGTGCAGTTTTGACTTGTTGACCACGCACTGCTGCTGCTGCTGCGTGCACTTGATAGTTGTCATGACTGGTGCCGCCAGGCGCTGAGTTGAAACTTGACCAGAAACCGTGCTCAACCACGTTGGCGCGGGCGCCACCAAAAACACGGCCGATACGATGACGAGTTTGGTGTCACGACAGACAGTCCGATGGTGGGCCACTCGTTACCCCACCATTCACGCTGGTCAGCCTTATCAACAATGCACAGGAATTGACCACCATGTTCTAGCAACTCCGCGCGTTTTGACATAATAGGATTGAAGACAGGGGTTTGGCTCACTTGAAAGCCCTGCCCGCCTTAGGTGCGGGCTGGGGGTAAAGCCAAACGCATGACGAGCACCCTGTGAACAGGCGAGGGTCAACCACAGATGCAGCTCGGCAGGAATTAGCGCTGTTTTGTCGACCCGCGTGCTTGTGACCCCACTTGGAAAGCGGGTTTGTTGCACTTAAAGGTCATATTTGCTTCAAGAAGGGTGCGCCACAATAGTGTTGTGCCCAGTAATGTGGAGAAGCGCTGGCGCTCGCACAGTGCAAGTTCTGGATGTTGTCGGTTCGAGAGATAATATTCAAGCGTGTGTCGCAAAACTGCAAGCAGGCCCATTGATCCCAGGGGCGCCAAAATGAGTTGTATTTAGCCACGGTGTATCCGAGCCCAACGCAGGCACAGGCGGAATACCTGACAAAGCTTTGGAACAATTCCTCTGTCTGCACAGTCAAAAAGCGCGCAGCAAGAAGCCCAGCTGAGCAAGGCGCCTGTGCAGGGCAAGCGGCGCAGGTTGCGCGATGTGCTTGCTGGCACACGTGCCATCTTATGGCCGCACAGGAAGGATCAGGGCCAGAAGTATTATTGCGGCAGTCGCAAGCAGCGTACATGCATACCCACGTGTGCACTGGCGCGCCACTTGCCCAGGGCGGGCCGTGACGACCCGGGCGAGACAGGGACGCTGTGGCGATTCCATACACGCGGGCAGGCACAAGGGCATCGGCCCGCAACAAATTCAAGGGAGAACGGAGCGCGTCGGCGCCATCAGGCGCAAGGGAGTTCAGGTAAGGCATGCATTGGGCCGATTGGCCCGACAGAGAGGGGCTGGGTTTGACCAAGAGGAATGGCCGCCTTTTCTATGTCCAGCTCATATTGGCAGCGGCAGCAGGCCTACGCAGAACCTGTGAACACCAAGAGCGGTCACCATGGCCTAAAACAAAAGCGCGAGTTGCGTCGGGTTGTGGTCCAGCCGGAAGCTCAAGAATCACAAGGACAGAGGGCAAGGAAGGCAATCCTAAGAGGGGACTCCACACTGTTTTTAAGGTCCAAGGCAGCCCCTCCCAAAGTGCAGTTGCACAGTCCAAGGTTTTTAAGGCCAATTGAAGGTCATCACAGACGTCGATGCGGCCTTGTTCCAAGTCAAGGGGCTGGCGGACACCGAGTTGATCGTCAGCGTCGCGCTGCCGCGCGATTGGCTAGTGGTGGGCGAATCAAACACCTGGAAAGTGCCCGCGGCGGACGTGGTGTACGTCGCCGTCCTGGAAGACGACACGAGGTAAGCCGAAGACGACCATGTGGCGCCCATTGTGACGGGGGTGCCCGTGATGGGCGTGCCGTATTCATCCTTGGCAACGAGGATGACTTTCACCCCGTAGGTGGTGGTAGAGACGAGGCCAGAGCTCTTGCCGACCACAATAGAGTAGCTCGAGAGGGTCAAGCGGATCTCTTTGGATGGCGGCGGCGAGGGCGACGGCGAGGGGGACGGCGACGGCGACGGCGAGGGGGACGACGAGGGCGAGGGCGAGGGCGGCGGCGAGCTGGAGGGGTTTGAGTACTGGAGGGTCACGCTGTACTCCCCCAGAGAGGCGTAGCTGGTGAAGTCGGTGTCACCCGTGCCGATGACAGCGACATAGTACGTGCCCGGCGCCGGCAGGGTGACGGTCCTGGCGTCAGACAGCAGGGCGCCAGCAGTGTTGAAGGTGACCAGCGGCGTGGCTGCGCCGGCCGCCCACACCTCCAAGCGCAAGTCGACGTTGGCGCGCGCATCGCCGTTGGGAGACGCCGGCGTGAGCGCAATGCTGACAGTCGCAGGCCCCGCGCCTGCCGCAAAGGAGAGCCAGTCTGCGTCGCCGCTGCGCTCGATGTTGCCAACGGCAGCCGCGGTCATGCGAGTGGGGTCCGAGGTGGTGGGGGTGCCCTCCAGGGGGGCCGCGGCGGCCATGGTGCTGCCGAGGTCGTCGGGGCGGTAGGCCAGGAAGCCCTTGGCGTTGGTCATGGTGCGCGTGGGATCAGTCATGATGGCGAGGTCGTCCTCTTTGTTGTTGGCGTTCGCATACTCGCCCTTGCTAAACTGCGTGACCGGCCTGTCGTATCCAACCTGAGGGGCAAGGGAGGGGTGCGGTTGCAGGTGGTGGTTGGCGGTGGTGGTGAGGGTCTGGCAGGGCCGATGAGAGCTACGGCTCCAGGCTGCATGATGCAGGGCACCCGCAGCAGTAAGCACCCGGAAACCCGATGAGGCCACCCTTGCCTTTCCATCCAGCCGGCTCGCTCACCCCCATAATTGGCGCCCATATGCCGCTGCCGGAAGAGTAAGAGTTGCCCAGGTTGTCGCCGTCATGGTTCAGCCCCAGGCGGTGGCCCAGCTCGTGGCTGGTGGCCTCCCACACGTACTTGGGGGAGCCGGAGCCCAGCTGGGCAGGGAACACAAAGGCTGTGAATCCATGGTTTGGGGGAGGGGGGGGGGGATGAGGGCATGTTGAGAGGGTGTTGTCAGCAGGCCAGTGGGCTGGCGGCGAGCGAGGTGTTGGGTGGTGCGGGCTGAATGCTTCCACCTTTGCACCTGCTGAACACCCACGGCTGCTTGCAGCGTACGGAGGCCCCCACACAGCGCACCAGGGTCGTAATAAGTGTTGCCAAAGGTGTTCACGTAGGCCACGCCGCCCGCGGGCTGGCCATACCAGTCCAAGGATGACCCTCCAATGACGGCGCGGGCGCCGTTGTCGGCCAGGTTGAGCTGGGCGCCGCTTGCATCTGTCTCCTCAGTTGTGACGTCCACCTGCGCAGCAGGGTTGCCAGGGAAGTTGCCGAGGAACGCGTGAAGAGTCAACGAGCTGCTGCTGAACACTTGGACTGCGGCTGCAGCAGCAGCGGCGAAGCTCGCTGATCTCAGTAGGGCCCCAACTTGACAGTTGCATCCCAAACGTGTGACCAAGGTCAAAACGCCCTCCTAGGCGAGCACGCCCGCCCTCTCACGTCAAAGGCCGCATAGTCCTCTGCCACGGCACGCCAGATGGCGATGATGTTGCGGCGCTCGGTGTCGCTGAAAGCAGACGGCACGCCGTCCAGGTCATAGGGCGGAGACACGATGCTGGGGCGAACCACGCTGTTCCAGGCTGTGCCGGTGGTGGTGTGGCCAGTGAAGTCCAGCACCAGGCGGCGCGGCGCGCCGGGGCGGCTGTGCAGCTTGAACGCCAGGGTCAGGTCAGTGGGGTCGGGGGCGCCAACAGTGGCAGAGCCAGGGGCCACAGCAGGGGTGGCGCCGGCGGGCACAGCCGTGCCCTCGCACGCGTAGAGCAGGCGCTTGTTGACCTTGTCATAGCCGATGTCGCGGTCGGTCAGGAGGCGCAGCAGCTCAGGCACGTCCACACCGGTGTTCCTGGCCACCTCGGCAATGTCAGTGCCGATCGCAGCGGCGGCATTCCTGCGTGCACGGACAGTGTGAGGGGGCCGTGCAGGCGGTCAGAGTAAAACTTGGTGTTGGCCCGCATATGACATAGTATCCGTGGCTGGCCAGTGGCGGCTGCTGGAAGAGCACGATCTGCCGGCCTGCCTCAATGCGCACAGCCCCGGTCTGCCCAGCTGCGAGCGTGCTCACGCACACGGATGCGTGTTTGGATAGCCTCTGCTCACTCGTGCCAGACGACGTTGGGGAGGTCGGGCTTGCCAGCGAGGCAGGCAGCCACCAGCACAAGCACCATCACCGCCACAAGCGAAGCCGCCATTTTGTGATGTTGGCCTTTCACCAAACCTGTAGAACCGTCAGAGCTGCAAGGTTCTCGGTCGGTCGTTGCACAGTGAGCGCCCTGCAACACCGGCTGTCTAGAGTGATGCTACGGTAAAAGGGAAAGTGAATGCACGAAGTAACACGTATTGCACTGATACCATGTGACATCCCACTCGAAATACGTGGCTGGCTGTGTCCTTCAGTTCTGGTCCTGGTGTCCTCGTGGCCTTGCGCCTTCACCTTCCGTCACTCGGCTGGTGTAGGCACTGCACGATCCGTAGGTTATGAGCAGTGGCTGAGCTCTAGAGAGAAAATTACGGGCTGCGAGATCAGCGTAAGCTCGCCCTTCCGGTTAGGCAAAGGAGTAAACCTCTGCCCCCTTCAACAAGCTACACTGTGGCCAGCATCACTTGACGCTTTGCTTGCAGCACCGTAGTGCGGTGCGTAGGTGTGGCACCGAGGCTTGTGAGGCCGGGCTGAGTTCTGCGGCACCTGCAGCACTTCCGTTCTAGAGCACCTGAGCAGCACTGAGAACGCCTGCAAGGCCATGGGTGGCGGCGCGCTGCGTGGCCCCCGCCTGCATTTTCGGACACTTGCGTGAAAGCAACCTCCCCCTTTGACGCCCTCGAGACACAGTCCGTACACGTACTGCCCTGAATGCGGGGCTGCAAGGCTCTAGGCGTCAGCGCGAGCGTTGGCAAGCCACCACTGGAACCCTGTTGTTCACTGCTCCTCTCAGTCCTTTAAATAGTCGATCACATACCGCTTTTGTCAGTGATCACAACCCCATTTCTGATGAAAGCCTAACCCCCGGCGAACCCCCAGCCAACCTCATCCCATCCTCATCCCAAGCCTTAGCCACCCACGCACCCCAACCCCTGCGGGGTCAGCGTCACCCCACTTGCGCCGCTGAGCCCGATGTGGACCTTCTCTGTGACTGCCCCATACATACTGCTTGTGTAATTGCACTGCAACCCCATGCATGATTGCCGCCAAATCCTCAGCAAGTCGCAGCACTGGTGATGTTACGGTGTTACAAAATTGACAGATTTGTGAGGGGGAAAACAATGCAGCAGTGACACTGCGAGTCAAGTATGGCGTAGCGCAGCTTCCCCACCAGCACTACTGCCACTTACACCTGTACAAACGCCGCATGCATGCTGCTCTGCCCCGCCGCCACAGCCGGGTTTCTCGCAGCCATACAAGTGGTGCGGCCATCCGATGCGCCATGTCAGCACGTCATCAAGCTCATCGGTAAGTTTGGTGACTCGGGGCCCACCGTCGTGCCAGCCTCAGCGTGCCCAGAGCAGCCCTCAATCCATACAAAGGCCTAGCACTGCACATACCTGAAGAGCCTCATCTGAATCACCACGACCAATGCTGCACCACCCCTCCATCATCCGTGGCGTTAGCGCTGCCGCTGCCTCTCAGGTGCCAACGATTGCATATTGACAATCGCCTGCATTAGCTGCCCAGTGCACGCCTCGGCTGCAGCTCTGTCCTGCTGCCGTACCGTCTCTGCCTCCGGCCGCTGCGCCACCTCCGCCGTCGTCAGGAGGGCGTTTGTCAAGGCTTGAGTATAGAACGCCCGATGCTCCCTAGTCCCAGGCCGACTCGCCTAGTCCAAGGCAAAGGCACTGGCACCTGCCATGAGGGCGGCTTGAGTTGTGCTGCAATGGCCAACGGCCCCTTCGCCTGCGCCCTGGAGGAAAGCACGGTCGTGCCCGCAGTGGCTGTGTGTATGAAATGTCATTGTTGCAGCCGGCATCATCAACGCAAGGCAGGCCAATGAACGATTGAATTAATTTGCTGTGTGCTGTCATTCAGTCGTCGTTCAGGCATGTGCTGCATTGGATCATTGGAGTATGCTGGGCACCTGCTTGGCAACAGGAGCATGCGAAGGATGCTGCTGACACGCCAGCAAAAGAGCCATGAAAGGTCTAAACTTTGCAGATGCTCGCATCAGGCAGCAGCACGCGCCAGGGTGGCAGATTTGCGCCGGCCCAGCTCTCACCAAAGCGACAGACGCCCCTCACTTGCAGTCACAAGTGATCTATCCGCGCGCCTCTTCTCGAGACAGGCTGCAGAGCAACATACGGACAGAGTTGGTCGGAAAGGCCAGGATATTGTATCGGACAGTAGGCTGCTTGAAGCTTCGAGGGGGCCCAGCGCTGTACTTGTGCCCATGGTTTGCGCTAGGCCGTTCGTAGCACATTCGCAACACTGGCAGAGCCAAAGCAGTGCACTCTACTGAAACCTGGAGGTGCAGTGTTAGAGTTGACAAATGTTGGGTGAGCAGGCACTTGCTCCTCCAGGCTTCTTGACCCTAAGCTTAGGCCCTTGCGATGGTGCCACTGTGCTGCTGAAGGCCTGACAGCAGGCAACGAGCGTATCCGTAGGGCTGGGCGCCGCCCTCAAAGCCTGCGAGGAGCTCAACCTGGCCTTCTCCATTCATCCACCCAATCCTGTCTGCTTGGCTTTGCAGGCTGCCTCTAGAGGTGTTGAGGGCTGCCGAGTAGCTAAAGCTGCCTGGTGCGTGCGCTGGCTGGGGGCCCTGCTTGGGACAGCTAGCGCACAATCCACAGCACCGGGGTGCAACTGCCAGCTGCTGCCGGCTGCACTCAGTGCTCGCTGAGCAGAGCCCCCCTGAGCAGAGCCCCCAGCCTGATGCTGGCTGCATTGCCATGCTGATGGCAATCCCTCGTAAATCGTACACGCATATCTGTGCTGCCTGCCACACATGGCGCGACGCACCGGGCGCAGGCGCTGGGCCCGATGGATGCGCCGGATCCAGAGCAGCAGCTGCTGCAGGCATTGCCTGAGCTCTTCCCAGGCGATGACAATAGCGAGTTTCGCTTCCGCGCGGCAGTGGCTATCTTCTGTAGGCCCGCTGACTGGTCTGCTGGTCTGCTGGGCGTGCCAGTCGGCGCTAGAAAGGCAGCTATCAAGGCAGCGGTTCTGCAGGGTGGGTCTTTTTGTGACAAGATCACCCGCTGCAGCGAGCACGCAGTGTGTCTCAAGTATCTGGACGCCCTTGAGGGTGCCAGTAGGTAGTTGGAGAAGATTGCAGCCACAAGAGCCGCTCATACAGGCTGGGGCATGTGTCCAGCACGTGCCCGACGGCAGTTGGGGGTTCCTTGCCCGCTTGTTGCACGGCTGCTGGACAATGCTGGCAGCGCTGGGGAGTGGTGGCGTGTTGTCTGTTGCTGCGCCTGTGACTCATTGCACTGCAACTAGCATGAGTGCTTACACACACATGTGCACGCATAGATGCCCACAACGCGATTTTGATGCAGCTCGCAGCGCGACCTGGCCACAACTTGCATCATTCCCCACTGGATGCCTGAGCTGACACTGCCTGCATGCGGCTGCTGAGCTCCGTCCCCCTCACTGCGTGCTGTGCACCCCTGGCGGCTGACTTTCCTTGCCATACGCACATGGTCCCTATGCCAATTGACTGCGCCATCCTCCCCTGCTGTTCAGGCACAGCAGGAGCTGCTGCAGGAGGTGAGGCTCACTGGCACTGCCGATTGCATGTCACCAGTTGGTGGTCTTGATGGGGCCACATTGTAGGTTGGGCGCGTGTGCGCCACCCAACGATTGTCACTATGTTGGGCTTCCACTGGATTGGGCTTGCCACAGCAAATGTTGCCGGGTTGGGTGCAGATTCGTTGCGGTGAGTTGTGCTGAGCTGAGTGCGGTTTTCGTGCCGACTGCGCTGTTCTTATCTGCTCGGTCGCCCCCCATTGATTAATCACCTGCCTGCACCCCAGGTCCCTACCTCATTCGCAAGCTGATGAGGGCGAAGGCCCCGAACCCTGGCATCTGGAGCGTCAGCCCAAGCAGCTCCAGCGCCACGCAGCGGCCCTACCCAATGTGCAAGGCGGAGAGGTGGTCCCTGGTCCATGACGCGCAGCAGGTGTCCCAGTACCTCACTGCAAAGTGCCAGCAGCTCACGCTCCCGTATCGCGCCTGCGACCCAGACACTTGGTGGCTGGACGACGCGCTGCACACCGAGGCCGATTGCAGGGCAATGTGAGTTATTGGCACGGCCAAGGGCTCGCAGTGGTTGCTTCGCTCCTTTCTCCATCATGCGCGGCATCATTTGCTCATGCACGCTGGTAGATGTGGAAGGATCGGGTCATGTGTTGTATACTGTCGGCCGCATGCATTCATCTCATTGGCACATGGGGAATGGTTCAGCTCAAGCTCTCTTCCTCTCTTTCAGGTTCGCCAGCTGCTTTGGGAGGCCCATTGCAAGGATGTACACTGTCGTGGCCGGCAAGCAGACCTCGTTCCACCTGTCGCTGCGGCAGCACGTGGAGAGGGGCGCGGCAGACTTCGCGTTTTGTGACAGCTCTTGCAGGGTACTGCTGGTGGGAGAAAACAAGGTGAGCACAGCTGCCAGTGTCAAGCTGCGCCCACAGGCTGCTGCGCAGCCCGCAAGCATCATTACACCAGCTGCAAGTCCGTGCTGCTGCGCTTGTCAGCCTCCATCAAGGTGGTCCTTCGGTCCCTGCTGCTGAGCGTGTGCGCTGACCTGGCTGGCACACGGACTAGTCCTTTGTTGGGCTCTTCCAACCTGAAATTCATGACCGCAGGCGCCGGGGCTGCTGAACTCCTGCCCTTCGATCTGCGACGCCATTGAAGCTGGCAACCCGGCCGCTTGGAGCTGCGCGCAGCAAGTGTGCGATTACATGAAAGGCTGGGTGAGTGCAGCCCGCCCGCAGCCCGCCCGCACCCTCGCGCTCGTAGGGCAGATGTTTTGAGGAATGTCTGTTTGTGCTGCAGCGCTACTGGGGGGGGGGGGGGTGGTTGGACCCCTGATGCTCTGGCGTCCGCGTCTCTGTCCGAAGCAAGGCACGATGGCGCGACTTGATCGCACGAATTCGCTTGTGCAAGGCGCAGCCCCGTTACGCATCCGTTTGTGTGCAGAGCATGAGGTACGGCTTCCTGACATACCTGAACGGGACCTTCTTCATCCGCCGGACGGGGCAG